CTTCAAATAAAGAAAATAACAGGGTCATAATTCTACTTAACATGATAAAACTATCCTGTGTACAATAAAAATGCACTAACCCCTTCCCCCGAAAAGAAGATAAAGGCCTTGAGTTATATTTAATCTTTCCCTTGATATCCTATAATTTAAATGCAATGATGTAAAATTAAGAATACATAAATACTATGATAAAAAGTCAGTACATCTTATTTACATAAGGAAATAAGAGAGGAAAGAAAACACACACACATATTTGTAACAGAATTAGGAAGAAATTCTCATGACAGTTACAGCCTTTGTTTCTGTAACTGGTCAAGTGGTCAGAGCTGGTATTTATAGCGACCTTCTTCCATTACCAATTACGTATTCCTTTACTTTCATCAAGCAACTTTGATGGTCATGGATCTTACCTGGTCTGGGCCATTAGTAGTCCTGCCAGGATGGGGTTGTAGTTTTCCATTGACCTTAATCACAGGGCATGGTAATACTAAGAGAAGCCCTAAGGGGTCTCCTGTCTACCACACATAATCTTCTTTACCTCCATTGTGGAGTAAGTAGCCCAGTTTCCCCATGGCAGTCAGGATCAGTCACCCCAGCCAACACTGTAACTGCCTTCTTTGCCTGTTGAATCAGGGTCAGGAGAAGCCCACAGCAGTCCAGTAGCAGTCTTAGCTTTCAGTGCAATGGGATCATTCTTGTGACTCCTGGTAGAAGCATTCCTGCCTCTGGAACTAAGAAGACCTCTAGGCCAGCAGAGCTGCTGATGGAAACAGGAAGGAAAAATTTTGTTAGTGGGTCATTGGTGTACTAATAGTGAGTGGTGCCACTCCCATTTCTACTTCTTGATTCCTGGACCCAGGAATCCTGGCTATGGAAGAAATAGCACCATGTATTAGATGCATATATAGCCTTCTGGAGAATCTTGTCCCAGCTCTGCAAGGTATTGCCACCTAGCTGGCACTACAACTGAGTCTTCAAAAGGCCGTTCCACTATTCATCAAGCCATCTGCTTCAGGATAAAGGGGGAGCATAGGAAGACCAGTGCATTAAATGAGCATGGACCTCCTTGCTGCACTTCTTTTGCTGTGAAATAATTCCCTTGAGCAAAAGCAATGCTGTGTAGAGTACCATGACAGTGGATTCTGATGAGTAAACTAGGTAATGTATGTTGTTTTACTTTCCTAGAATCATAAACATGTACATACATCAGAAATATTTAATAACAGTAATACTGTGTATTTGGCAAAGTGAACATTTCAGACAATGAATGCTTTGGGAAATTACACTGTAATAGAATTTTCAGAGATGAAGTTTCCTTAGAGATTATCTAGAGGGTTTCAAAATTTTTAAAACACACAACCTTTCCTTCTAACAAAATTTATAAGAAAGCTATTATGTAAAACAGGTAACATTAGACTTACTATATTTAAAAGTGGAGTGCGGTGGGAGGTAGTGCAGGGAAGCAGGCAGTGCTTGCTCAGTCAAGGCATTTCCCAGAATCCCCCAGGATAAATTTTCTCAAAAATATATTCAAAGATCAATGGAATCCCCTGCCATTAATTAAGTGGCACCCAGTCACTTTTAGGCAGCTTTAAAAGGAAAAACAATCAATGAAATTATTTTGATCATACATATTTCACAAATGTAAAATGTAGGATGAATTTTGAGTTTTATAAAATTTCTTTCTGGCTAACTCAAATAATGTGTTTAAAGATTCTGCTTGTGCTTTAGGAATTTGGATCAACCTGCCTTGGCTAACATTCTGGAAATGGCACAGTTTTTTTGGCAGTTGAAGCATTTCACTTCTACATATATCACTGTCTAGGTTTGTTAACTTGGTTTTTGCACTGAACTAGCAGTTTTGGTTCAATGGCTCAAAAGTAAATCACTGAAGTATAAAAGGACAGATGAAAATACATAAATACTACAATAAAGAACAATTTGTTAATGAAAATAATTAGTAGGACATATATCTTATTATATATTACTTATATATTAGTGCAAATACATAAACCTAAATGTACTGGGACATGTGAATCTGTGAACAACATGCATTCTCACAAGCATACTCCCCTGCCTGATGTGTCCCTTCCAGTTTTCCAGCTGAAATCCACAGCATCACTAGGCATAGGGGAGGTTTTACTGAGAAAGGTCAAACCTTCAAGGCCATTACTCCCCCAAGAAAATTAGTCAGTCTTAGAATAAATTCTTCTACATTAGGTTTACTATGCCATCTCTTAACTGTGTTTTAATAAGGTTAGACTCTAAAATGTTCTCACATGTGACTTGTATAGATTAGGGCATTTAATTGAAATGAGAAGAGCAGATTTGACGTTCACATTTAAGAAAACTAAATATTTTTCAGAATTGATTATTGAAATATTTTCCTTATAAAAATTAAATATGCCACAAAGATTGAAGGCAATTACTCACAAATTAAAATGCTTTTTAGATTTGTTTTTCTACAACTAACAATTTAAATGTCTTTCAAGGCAAAATACAATGTATTATCTTAATTCAATCTCCAGAACTTTGTGGTCTCAGTACTATTTAAAGGATGAATTCGAATTTTTTCAGCCTGTTTCACTTAACACTTTCATGGGTGTTACTTAGTAGATTAAAGACCTCAGGCATTTAGTGTTTGTATGTATGTCATTAATCACATTAGTGTCATTATTTTGTTTATTAAAGAATTTCATTCATACTTAAAATGAGATAGTAACACAGGAACCATGAAGAGTGGAGTAGAAACGTTTCCCCTCCCTAAGAAAACAGCTAAAATCTTACCATCAATGCTCATTGCCATATATTGCCACACTAGACCATCAATATACATCACAGAAATCATCTCACCTTTTCCTAAATGTATTAAAGGTATAGTTTACTTTAAACATCCACTATCTGAATTTGTAGAGTTTCAAAGATGCCTCTCATCAAGAAAATCTGATTCTGTTTGTAAAATGTGCTATTCACAGGTTTGTAGGTGTGTATGTTGGAGTACTTTCATTAGAATAGGGGCAACCCAATTGATGAAATAATAGTGTCAAGCTACCCCATTTTTCAATGTGATGTGGTAAAAGTCAGAGGTCTTTTAAAAAATAAGTATAAACTGCCAGACTCATCTGTTTCCTTTTCTTTTCCAGCCCTAAAACATCAAACTAAGATAACAAATGGAATTTTGCAGGCTTTGCCTGGAAGCCTTTATCTTCAAAAGAGACCTGAAGAAGACTTACTTAGCTGACCTTTCCGTGCAAGAAAGCGTTATCACCTACTGAGATTTGTCTTCCTTGTTGGCACCTCCCTACGGAAGAACGGAGAGTCTAAAATCAACTTCAACTTGTGCAAATTAAAAGTAACCTTGAGGTTAATGGGTTTTCAACATCACTCCTTACTGGGCAAAAAATTTGTGCCCCATAAAATTAAATTACCTCCTCAAAACTAACTTCTTCAATAAATTGCAACATTAAATACAGTAAAATTGGAATTCCTACCAAACAATTCCCCTCTCCCTGAGGTAACTCTCCCGTCACTGTTAAAATTGATTCCCTCTCTAATGGAATATTCCATCTAGTTCTAGGGTCCAAAAAAGATGTTCAGAAAACCTAAAAACTGTCAAAGAAACAGAACAATCAAAGGTCAGAAAATAAATCAGATCTTTGAGGAAACTAGATCTAGAGTTTAGAGAAAGAAATGCTCTAGCACTTAACCAAGTACTAAATTTAAAGAATATGGGGAGTTCTTACCTAGCAGAAGGTGACTTGCTCTTTTCAATTTCTTTGAAGAAGTGATCAGAAGGAAACAATCAAATAATTAAGTAAGGTAATGAGTTTGTATGGTGGGTAGTTCTTGTATTAAGTCTAGAATCACTACTGACTACATTTGCACTGATTGAGGAAGTTCTAATGAAGTCCTTTTTAAATGGGGTTGGAAGTCATGAACACATTGTTGAATGAATACTCTGTATTACGAATTAAAACACTTTCTTCAGAAGTGAAAATAACAAAAAGGACACTACCATCTACTTGAAAGACTGACTGAAAATGTACAAAACTAGAGGCAATTCATGAACACAAGCTGACAGCACAAATTGTGTGCATGATTGGAATGGTGAAGTAATTTCAAGAAAAGGCAGAATTATCATGAGGTTATGTAACACTAAGGTATTCAGTTTGGTCCGAAAGACAATGGGTAAATATAAATCCATGGTGATTATTCTGGTAGCTGTGTACAGGGTGAGCCAAAATCAGGAGAAACAATGCACACTAATACCAGTCCTAATAATATCCAACATGGATAAGTGCCAAACACTGTTCTAAACGTTCCCATGTACTAACTTGTTAAATCTTCACAGTAATGCTATGAGGCAGATGCTGATAATACCTCATTTTACAGTTGGGGAAACTGCAGCACTTAAATAATGTCTGATTTTTACAGTAAGCATTCTGCACTGCAAACCCCATGCAGTCAATTCAAGCAAAGGTCATTTCATCTTCAAAGCATGTAGTATCATCCAGAGAAGAATACTCATACTGCCACTAACAGGCTAATACATGCATGGTGGAGACTCCATTTAAATGTTTTTATTATGGAAAATGTCAAACATATCTAAATACAAAATAATATATGACCACCCCCTCCCTATGTATCTAATCTTGATTTATCTACTATACCTCCACTCATTACCCATGACCCTCTCCTCATTATTTTGGAGTAAATGCAGACATTGTATCATTTCATCATCACTAAATCTTTCAGTATGTATCTCTAAAAGATAAGGACATTTCTTTCCTTCTCAACAGGACAATGTAACATTTTTAAAGTATAATAATTACTTAATATCAAATATCAATCAATGGGCAAGTTCCAGTAATGTATCTCCCTTTAATACTAAGAACTTATGTGTTAGTTTGAACACTTGCAAGTATACTACTTCATTTAAATTGCTCTTTTTTCCTCCCTCTTTTCACTGCAACTAAAAGGAACGGGTCTGCTTCTATGCCATGACCTTCCCACAGAGGCCCAGGCCTAGCGGCCTCCCTCCCGGGCCCCTTTCAGCCGAGGGCCCCACGGCGGGGTCGCAGCCCCTTTGCTGGTGGGGCCCAGGCTCCGGACCGGAAGTCGCTGTACGCCGGCTTCAGTTCCCCAGCCCGGCGACCCCGGCCCCGCCCCTGTCGCCTAGGCGACGAGGGGCCGCTGCGCATCGGCTAGGCCGTGGGGATGTCTGTGGGGACAACTCCCGAGCGGACCACCCCTGCGGCGATGACCCCGGCGGGAGCCACGCCCGAGTCGGAGGTACGCCGCCCCTCCCCTGTACCAGCGACCCCCAAACGCACGCCCCCGGCCCGCGGGGTTCGCGGCCCAGGTCGGCCTCCGGAGAGGAGCCGCACGCCGAGTTGGGTGCTCGGCCGGGCGTGGCAGCGGGGCTGGGTACGTGCCGGGGCCTCGCAGGGCACCTGGAGGCGAGCGGGGGTCCCATCAGCACCACCTGTGCGTCCCTAGCCCCGCCGCTTCCGCCTGCAACCCGCCCGGGCGCGCTGTGTGTCGTGCCCTGGAGTGTGAACCGCAGAAATTCCTTCATTACAAGTTCCGTGTCCAGACCACCTCACAAGTACGCCTCCCCTATTTTCTGCGCCGAACAGGGACCCTGGAATTTTAAATGGGACAGCCATTGCTTTTATTTATTTTGCATGATCATACTTACGATGGCTCAAAATGTGTCATGGAATGATAGCTATTCAGTGGTAGTGGATTGCTTAATATTTGAAGGCTAAGGCTTGGTGTTTCCCTAATTATTTTAAATAAATAAATACATGATAGGACAAAGACGCACCTGGAAAAAATCGACCTGGTTATGGCTTGATTTCTCATCGTCAGCTTGTCTTCAGGAAGGTTATTGTTTAACCTCCTTGGGACCCAGTGGTTTTCTGTGTAAAATAAAGATTATCGTTAGGCCCCTCCCAATGCCAGTTCTCAATAATAAATGAGTTTTAGGTAACATGAATTACTCATAACTTAGTATCTTGAAATTTTAATTAAGAACTATCTGCTGTGCCAGATCCTGCTTTAAAAAAGTTTGAATTTTCACACACTGAGTCCATCATGTTCTGTGAAGTTTTTCTCTTAAGTTTCTTTAAGACTGAAGATTAATAATGTTATAATTAACATTGATATGCTCAACTCTCTTATTAGTTTAAATAACTTTTCTTTTGTGCAGAGAATAAGTATTAGCTGCAATTTTATAAATGAAGAAACAGAGCCAATAATTCAGTGCCTTGCTCAGATATACAAGTCCTTCCCAGTCCAGATTCTTCCCAATACTGTATGCAGACCGCTGCAGCATGCTGATTCTCCTATGAGCTTTTTAAAATTAGCATACATTAAAAATACATCTTAATGTGATATGCCATTTACTAAGCCAGTTACTCCCTTGTGATCACTAATGTAAGTAATATAATTTCAAAGTGGCATAGGAAATTTCCCAATTAAATTGTGTTATTTAAATATATACAAAAACTAACTTATGAAAAGGCACAATTGTCAATGTACACTTAAATATACTTATCCATGTAGATAATGTCCTTTCTAAGAAGACTGATAATTTGGAGCTAATGAATCTGCACTTCAGAAATTTAAAAAAAAGAAAAGAATACTGCTTAATTTTTTTAAAGATGCAAAGAAACGCCATGCTCCAGGAAAAAAAAATTATAATAGATGAGTCAGATTAATAAACTAGTTATAGACCTTCAATGATTTTCTGCCCTCTGAGCACTGTCAGTGGGCATATTGTTTAACTTCTTGGAGGAACAGGTATTCCCATGACAAGCAATTCTGGATATGCTCAGTCTTTTAGTTAGTAACAAACTAAGGAAATCAAGTTGGAATTTGGACTCACTTAGCTGTATTCATTTGCTAAAATTAACAGGCTAATATATGCATGGTGGAGACTCCATTTTCCATTAATGAAAGCAGAGTTCCTGTAATTCATGGAGAAGGTAGTTGATCTGTAGAGCTGTGTCAGTCATTAGAATGACAAGTCCTGCCGGCTGCCCATTTGTGGCCACTGTGACTTTTAGGGGTTAGATGGGAAAGATGGCAAAAACCTCTCTCTCAGGTCTGTGTTCCCAAGGCCACAGCTTTTCAGTTTGATACTGAAAAGTTCTTTCTGGATCAGATTCTTTCCAGAGTTGATTCCCCAAGACCTAGTCCCTTGTGGTGTCATTCCTAATGTATTCTGTATCCAAATTGATTTAGCCAGTAGACCATCTAGTCATATGAGCCAAACAGTAGGGAAATATTTCTTTTCTTGCCAAGTCTGTGGAAATAAAGCACAGCCTCCAATAGTTTGAGGTTTCCCATTTGTTTTTTGTTGCCAGTACCTGGAATAAAAACAACCAGTTATCCCACTCACATAATAGACACTCAGTAAAATATAATTTAACTAATTAAAATCATAGGTGGTCTGACATATGCCAGGAAAGGTAGTTATCATAGACGAAAATCTACTCTATAAGGTACTGTGAAAAAACAGACATGAGATGCAGGTCCAGGAATATTTTTTTTTCTGTGACATTGCATAAATTCTTCTTTTCAATTTTCTGAATTCAGCACTGCAGTTTCTTTAGCAACATAGAAGTAAATGTCTCCCTCTAAAAGGTAAGACCAAACCTTTGGAAGATACCTGTGTAAATGCACAAGACCAGAGAAAATGACAAAAAATTGAAAATAAATATTGGCTATGTATAGATCTGTAAGTGAAAGGAATTTATAAATGTTTATAAATTAGCTTATAAATGAATACTTAAATTTCAACCATCAGTCTTTTATCAATAGATTGTTCATAAGTTCTTAATAGCTCAAAAATATATTTTGGTAAATATGATCATATAAGTAGTATATTTAAAAGGACTAAACTCACATCAGACACCTGGAAGAAAATGTGATTATTTCCCAGTTGCTTCTTCTGTATAACGTCTCTTAATATTACCACATCTCCTAATAGATGACATTTATTCCTTGCCTTTGGGACTTTATCAGGACAAGAGGACACTTACATAACCTTGAGTGGAAAGATGTCACTTGTCTTAGAGATCTTCAACATGTCCGAGAGGAAGCCATTTAGTAATCCCTACAGACCTTGGAAACAGCCTCACCCCATCATTGGCATGTTAGAAACACCTGGAGCTCAACTTGAGCAGCAAGGTGATCAGGTTCCTGCAACTTCCATACCACTTAAGAGGTGTTTATTGAAGCCATTTACAAAACATAGGGTAGAAAAAACCTGTGCAGTGATATGGGGAGGATGCCAAAACATCACTTAAAATATTGTTGAGAAAACAATTCTAATAGTCCTCAAAATGTTGACAATACTCCATTATTTATCAGACACATAGAACCTCTGGGAATACTGGCTGGTGGATATGCAGATACTGACACAAACATTTGGGTTTGTCTTTCTTCTTACTTTTGGTCTTGGCTTTCCTGTGTTATTTAAAAGTTCTGCTGCTGCTTCTTCCAGCCTTCCTTTCAGGTTGTGCAGTCTTCAATGCTTTTCTAATATTTAAAGTTTTATCTTGCTAAATTAGGTCTTCAACATCATTAAATTAATTTTTTTTACCAGTATAATATTTTATTACTGGTATATATATATGTATTTTTTTGAGAGGGCATCTCTCATATTTATTGATCAAATGGTTGTTAACAACAATAAAACTCTGTATAGGGGGGTCAATGCTCAATGCACAATCATTAATCCATCTCAAGCCTAATTCTCGTCAATATCCAGTCTTCTGAAGCATAATGAACAAGTTCTCACATGGTGAATGAATTCTTACATAGTGAATAAGTTCTTACATGGTGAACAGTACAAGGGCATTCATCACAGAAGCTTTCGGTTTTGATCACGCATTATGAACTATAAACAATCAGGTCAAATATGAATATTCGTTTGATTTTTATACTTGATTTATATGTGGATCCCACATTTCTCCCTTTATTATTATTATTATTTTTATTTTTAATAAACTGCTGAAGTGGTAGGTAGATGCAAGATAAAGGTAGAAAACATAGTTTAGTGTTGTAAGAGAGCAATTGTAGATGATCAGGTGTGTGCCTGTAGACTATGTGCTAATCCGAGCTAGACAAGGGCAATAGAACATCCATGGATGCAGAAGCTTTCTCTCAACACAGGGGGTGGGGGTGAGGTTCTAAGCTTCTCCACTGTTGTTCCCCAATTTCTCACCTGATGG